TGATGATGATGATGATGATGATGATGATGATGATGATGATGATGATGATGATGGTGATGATGATGATGATGATTCCTCTTCCTTTTTTAAAATGTTTCTGAAGAAGCCCATACTGGCTAAACATTGAACTATATACTCGTTTGTATATGCAGATATACAGGGTGATAAAAAAAAAAACTGAACAACTTTTTTGTAAATATTTTCCTCCACACTGAAGCTTTGTGTTTCAAATTTGTACACAACATTTTGGAGTAAAAGAGAATTTGTCTGATCATCATTTTAGATAAATCTACAACATAGATTTTCTTTACATAGCACGTAAAAAACAACCCATTTTTCAGCTATGTCCTAATTTTCGTAGCATGACGTTTGCGTTAGGCCTACCACTAAAAGTCCCAACGATTGGGCCATATTGCAAGCCACAGTGATCTAACAGGCCAACAGAAGTTTGCAGATAGTTTTTCTCAAGTTTCTTTTGCCTGTTAAGATCACGGATAAGATTAGTAAAGAGCAGAGAGCTTTTTGTATTGAACATTTCCTCACCACCAACTCATTTCGTAAGTTTTGTACCAGATACGGAAACAACGTATCTTTAAAGCCTCATTTGAAGTCAAGGGGGAAAATAGTCCGTCATAGGACTTGCAGAGAATTAGAACTAAAAATTCCAAGACAAAATAACAATTTCAGGGTATACACACACCGTTCAAACCCCTTTAACGTCACCAGGTTGCGGCATTCAGTAGATGAGCCCCATGAGATATCTTTCCGTAGACAATGTCTACAGCTATGATTTTCTTACATCTCAACGTTCTGCATTGTCGAGGCAGATCTTCATCTACGACTGTACCATTTTCCTGTTTGTGACGCTAACATGGATCAGAGGATTGCAATGTGTTCATGATTCCTTAATCATATTAAAAAGCCTGGACATTTTCTCTATGATATTTGGTTCCTTGTGAAAGCCCATATTCACCTTCAGGGATATGTTAACTCCACAAATGCTGCCTATTTGGGCAACTTTATCCTACCCCCTATTGTCTCTAGAAACAAATCCATACTGTAAGATGTACAATGTTTGGATTGATCCTTGTGTTTGGCCACCACTATACAATACGAACAACGTGTAAAAATGTGTCGAGTCGAAAGATATAGAGCACTGGTTCTCGGAATTCCAGAATTTTACAAATATTTTTAAAAAATTCTGCACAAGAAAATATATATTGTTTAAATGTTACAGGGATTGAAAGATTAGATTTTAAGAAGAAAAGGAAGGGGGAAAAAACATACTAATCATTCCATGACTCTCCTTCCAAGATTGTTTTTTAAAATGGTGCATTTTGCGTTTACAGGTGGGTTTTTTTTATAAAAGCCTTTTCCGTTTCCTAACCCATGTTTTTTCGTTATGAATTTCATGTCACACAAATGTCTTTTGGATGAATTATATCAGTTCCAAATTACAACATTCTAGTACAAAGTTTGCGCGAGATATTCTGAAAAAAAGTTGTTTAGTTGTCGTTGTTCTTTGGATCACACTGCACATTGTACAGTGGCGTACAAAAGAAACTTGAAAATATATTCACCCACTCATCGTGGACCTTGGACCACCCACCCATGCAACATACTAACTTAAAGTTAAATAAATGGATAAAAACACTGGACGCCATTGATGCTTGTATATAATATTCTAAATACCATACCACTCTGTAAGCAATATTCAAGTGGACAATTTTTTTCTATTGTTGTCGTGATTGCTTTTATCACTTTCATATAGAAGCCCATAAGGCGAAATGTCGAACATATCTTATAATATCATAACATTTAAATTCAAAATAAAATACTCAAGTTTTCATTAACTTCTTGTTTTTTCTTGTCTCTCTGACACGATCGGTGATGATGATGATGATGATGGTGATGGTGATGATAATAATGATGATGATGATGCTGATGATGATGATGATGATGATGATGATGATGATGATGATGATGATGATGATGATGATGATGATGATGATGATGATGAGAGGAGGTGTGGGAAGAGAAGTAGGATGAGGAGGAGATGCGGGTGGAACAAAATTCACAAGAGAAACAGAACTAGGAGAAAAGGCATGGTGGCTGTAGACAGAAGACAACAAAGGTACGTTATAATTTTTGTTCAAGTTAAATAATGTACTCTCTCATTTAACTGACAAGTTCCGATTTCTTCTACTACCTCCATCTTAAAGTAAAGCTGACACTGGCGTAATGCTTGAGCAAGGTGGGTTACATTATTTAACAGCGGGGGTCCCTGGTTTAACTTTTAGTTACAGACTTCAAAATAAGTTAAAGACCACCTTGACAGACAGTCATAATATTTTTTAATCGAAAAAAAGACAGCTAGGAATGTTTCAAACTTTTTTGCTCTGAAAATGTTAATGGGTTACCAATGCGTCCTGCAAAGCTTCCTAAAGTGGCAAAACCACCACGTGCAGCACGGAAATCCTCGGGAATTCTAGCCAAATTTGCTGTTTATATCGACTTTAGTGCGGACATTCCTCGGTTAAATTGTCTAGTGCACGTCATAAATGAACGTACGGTCTTAAACTGTGCTCACTTTGGTGGCAATATTATAAGCCGCTGTTTGCGCAAAATCCGGTATCGTATCAACATGCCACCAAGACGAAAGCTAACAGACTTTGATCGTGCCAGAGCTATGGCATGGCCGCAGGATGGGATGAAAGCCTGAGAAGTTGTCAGAAGGCTCGCAGTCTCACACGTTGTCATTGTCCGCTTGAGGCAGCGCCATCAAGCCACTGGATCAGTCCAAAAACGCCAACGTGCAAGTCGACCCAAGAAGACCATTCCGAGTGTTTGCAAGTGGTCCTTAACTTATTTTGAAGTCTGATGATAGGACTGAGCGAGATGTGCAGAGAGAGCTTTGAAAATTCCACAAAATGACCCGAGGTTGATAACGCCTTGTTAGTTAGGGATTCGAACCAGGGCGTATACTCCGTTGTCTAACACGATACTACTGAGTAAAGGTATGGGTCGACATCTCCGCTGCCTTGATGCAGTGTGATCTTCACCTAATTACGCTAATCTACTCACTCCCTTCACGTTGGCACTCAATTATAAACCAAAAATTAACAAAACGAAAAAGCAAATAAAAAACAGAAAGTCTGACCACACCTTCTCTTTTCGCGCGTGTTTTTGTGTGTATGTGTGTGTGTGTGTGTGTGTATGTGTGTGTGTGTTTGTGTGTCTGTGTGTCTGTGTGTGTGCCTGTGCCTGTGTGTGTGTGTGTGTGTGTGTGTGTGTGTGTGTGTGTGTGTGTGTGCTTTGTTGGGGTTTTTTTGGTAAGTGTTTTACGACGTCCGCAACTGCATAGGGTCATATGAGCGCGGGGCACACCGAATATTTTCAGTTTGGTAGGGAATTTTGAATTTTTCCCGGGAGACGGCCAAAGCTTACTCTTATCGATTTGGGACCACCAAGGGATCTTTTACGTTCGTTCACAACTTGCACACAGGACCTCCGAGAATTTTAGCTGTTGTCCGAGAAGGTTAGGTGTTGATCTTTGCTACCATAAGATCAGGGATCTGGCTGAAAGACAACAGTAAGAAGGTGCCAAGGAGAAGCAGTAGAAAGGCTGCAGAAAGAGTCAGGAGCCCATAGGAGGGGGGCAAAGGAGGTGAGGAGGGGGGCAGAAAGTGGAGGCGAAAGCAGACGTCAAAACATTGCTGGAAAGCAGGAAAGTATGTGGAAGGAAAGGAGAGAACTTTGGAGAAGAAAATTTTCCATGGCTATCCGGATTACCTCTTCACTGCTATGTAGACGTGCATAGTACATACTCGCTTGTGTTCTCCCAAACTGCTCTCTGCCACTTTTCCTCTGGTTGATTTATATGGGGTGTTTTAGGAAATACTGCAATGACGATTTGTGCTGTTGTTGATTCTTAAATAAGGGAAAAGGTATCACGGCTTTGATGAAACTCTCTCCAAAACAAACATCTTATTCGTATAATATGCAAAGTAGATAGATACGTCTCAGCAATGAAGGGGTTAATCGAACCCGGGACCTATTGAATGAGAGTAGGCACAACTCTCTACGTTGCCCTTAATTGTGTTGCAAAGTGAACCAGGATTACGTCAGGGTACGCGATGTATTTTGGAGCAATGCACAAGTCTAAGCTAGCAAACGACTCCTGATCTTTAGTTTGTTTTGGTTGCAAACTTTAAATTCCAAATCATCTCTATTCTCACGACAACATGTCATGTAAATGCCGTTTCTTAATTTTTCTACCTTTGAACCGTACGTCTTCTGCGTGCTTTGTCTATTATCATTATTTTATTTAAGGTTTATTTCGCGGACGGAGACATACGGATAGCACACTAACAGAAAGTAGTCTAAATTTCTTTCAATCCTCACCCTGACTCCGAAAACGGGCATGAAGATTTTGTTTTATTTGAGAGTCATGAATGGATCCTCTTGTCCAGATAACTGGCTGGTCAGTTGAACTTCGTTGGTCCGGATCCATTACACCAGTTGATGTCAGCATGATATAAAACATTTATTACGCTCGTTATGACGGCAGACCATTATTCACCCTACTTGTGAGATATATTCCATAAATTTAACATGAGATGTACAACGATGATGAAATGTGTATCAAGTATTTAGTTCTGTTATCATTTTCCCCCTTGTTGAGCCAAATACCACAGTGCCCTAGACGTACACATTCATGCATATGAACATTAATGTTTTTCATACCTTGCTTTGAAAAGTCTTATTTGTTACAGGTGCATTAAGTTCGAATATAAAAATGCACTACTCTAGCGATGCCCAGGTCCATATCTGTTCTGGCAATTGCATCGAGCATGCTCACTTTTGGGACCTTTTCTTGGGGTGTACGATCTGTAAACAGCAAGTTGACGTTGCTGTTACACATAATTTTCTTTAAAAAAGAATGTCTAAAGTATTGACAAAACTTTTGTGAGGATCGAACAGGAGATATCTCGGTTCCGAGGCACATGTTTGATGAAGTACTCTGCATATCCTCTGGTTGTGGTAAGGGTTGTTGTCAGTGTCTATGGGTTTTTTTCATAAATTCACGCAACAAATCTCGCATTTCTTACGTGCATTAGTTTACTACTACAAGTGACTGGGTATTTTCATTTACAGCGCTTTATCAACAGTGCTTATCCCTCCAAGTGCCAAATACAACGTGATGTGGTGTCTAGGCTTATCTAAGGTTTTAGAGTTAGGATAAGAAAATAAAGAATAGCAATAGAAGACAGCAAATGAGGTACTAATAACTATACATTTTCTGAAAGCTTATGAGTTCAAGAATATGTTTACATTACTTCGGGTGAAAAAAATATGTTTCAGTGACCTTGACTGTGACCTTCTATCATTGACTATAAATGCCAGATTGTATACTGTTTACAAATGAGTCCATATATCCCTCAGTTTATTTCTTATGAATATAAAATCCTTTCAGCATATTCCACAGGCTGTAAGCTATCCATAAATTTTAATGTATAGATAAGAGATTTTTCTTTAAAAAATGTAAAATAGAATTTTTATATTATTTTATTCACAGCATGTCATGTCATTTTCTAGAAAATGAATACACGATAGTGAACATGGGGTATATTGCGCAGATTTTACGCTGTTACTCAATAAGCCGCCCTTCTTATGTTCGGTAAATTACGCGGGTTTTTGAGTGGGGTATCGATTATGTGGTTTGTAGTCGAGTCAAAATCCCGACCTCGACAATGTTTAGCAGATTGACTGTTCACTAAAACCAGTTCAAGACCTATCTATCAGATTGAGTGTTGGAGGGGGTACCTTGTTTAGCTGAAAATAGTCCGGTGAGTTTGTCTCAGAAGAACCAGAAAATAAGTAAATATATTAGCGGACTTGTAAAAATGTGTCTGCCCAATGCACTTTAGTTGCGCTCAAAAAGAAACTTAAAATGGAAGTTTTCATGACAGAAAGAGGACGAAAAAAAATATATACAATGAAATGAAATAACAGTCTAGATAATTGGCTAACTTTAAACTTATACTTATAGATTGAATATCAAGTCGGAACCATGTCGAATACCGGCGCAGCCTAAGAAATACATGTACACGATACCAAAAATACCAGCCCAATTTTCTATAAAGTTTTGGAAAACTCCTTTGAAGTTTTTGACAATAGGATTAAAAACCTTCGCTATTTTCCTCTGCCCCGTAGATCGGCTGTCATCCACCGCAACATCACAGTAGCGACGCTGACGGCCGATTGTCATGACACCTGGAGGGTTAAACGTGAACCCAAACCATTGATCATTTCTTTATAGAGCACCAGACATTTGTTTTAGGTGTTGTTTTAACATTTTTCTTTTTTTTTGTTGTTTGGGTTTTTTTCATATAACATTCGTGCACAGTCAGCAGTGTGTCCATCGGTAATCGTAATTTATTGTGCTGTTAATGTTTTAACCAGCTTATCTTGCATAACACGAATTTATTAAAACTAACGCAACCTGGCTGTGTGGATTTCTTTATTTATCGTCGTGCAGGCAGCAAGTTTTGTTGTTTCGCTTTTTTTTTTAAACATGCATTTCTTTATAGCAATTATTAGTTGCCGTCGTTAGAACTGATTATAATATAGAGAATTGCATATTATGCTTCGATAGCAGAAGATAAAACAAAAAGCAAGTTATAAGATGAACATATTGAAAGTTACATTTTATTTTACTTCACATTTGCAGGAGGTCAAGGATTTTGGAAGCAGTGTTTTGTTTCTGAGGTGACAAAGTTTACAGAACGGCAATTATATTGTGTTTTGCCTATTTCCACGAATAACACACGTTGGTAAAATACAATGACTCAGTAACCAATGCAAGGATATGCCAGCAGCCGTACCTAAAAGTGTGTGACTTCAACAAGAGAAAAAAACAAAAACTGTTTGCTTCCTCTTCCAAGTCATCCTTTGCACCGCTGTGTTTGTATTTCTTGCAGCGTGAGAACGTCATGCTGCATTAAATGGAATATTCAAAGTACAGAAGTGGTAAACTTCTGAGACAACAGATTATTTTCAGATGTTGATGGTGATCGTAAATGTGTGTCTATTTCTCTACGACTAGTAAGCTTTGCATATCACTGTACTGTTCATTCGGTCTCGTGAAGTGATAAACCCCGGTGGCCAAAGAAAATTTCGATCCTATGTGCACACCTACCTCTGCACTACATACCTATACGAAATAATGTCCAGAAATTACGAGAATGTGGATGATCATGCCCCTAGCAACAGAAGTTATGTTTCCAAGGTCTGTGGAGACCGAAACAAACTTTTTCTGCACATTATTCGTCCTTTAATGTCCGAGTTACTTGCAACGGTGATGTATGTCTTCGTGGGGACTGTGCCATTCGTTTCAATGTCACTCCTCCAGATGGCTCTTGTCAATGGAATAGTCATCGCAGCAGTCATTATTGCTTTTGGTGGTATTAGGTACGTTTTTTTATAATGTTGTTATGTAGTTTTCGTATAATGATATAGACACAAACATGCCATATTAATAATATTATTTCGAGTACTTGGCTAAGGGGTATAGAGTAAAGGGGAAGGGAAAATATTGGAAGGAATAGAAATACAATAAACCAGAATCAGTGCCATACTTTCCGCTTTTAGGGGGTCACCATCTACAAATTCAAAGTGGAAATTTGAAGGGAGGGAAAGGGGGGGGGGGGTTGCAACAAGTGCTATAATACACACCAGCATTCAATTATTTGCCGGTGGGTTTTTTAGGTCTCCGTGTCTATGTGCACGTTCATTTATCTGATCGCATTTGTTGCTCTTCTTTAATTTCAGGACTGAACGTTGTTTTCTTTTAGGTGGTAAAACCGTCTCTCTCTCTCTCTCTCTCTCTCTCTCTCTCTCCCCTCTCTCTCCCCCTCTCTTTCTCACCCCCTCTCTCTCTTTTACACTCTTACCATGTTCATTTCCCAGCGGCTCACACATCAACCCAGTGGTGACCCTGGGCATGTGCCTGTGTGGCCAGCTTCCTGTCATCAAGGCCGTGTTATACGTATTGACGCAACTATTGGGCGCCATGATTGGCTCCATCCTTCTGAGAGTGAGTGTCTCTGCACAGGCTGGGTTTTTTAAAATCCATTCTTTGTGTTTTGTTTTGTTTTTGTTTTCTTTTTTTTTTGGGCGGGAGGGGTGTTTTTGTTCGTTTTTAATTAATTTTATTTTACTGTTTTTTGTTGCTCAATGTACTGTGTTTTTAAAAGTGAACGAACCTCAAATGTCACAGTGCACTGTCTCTGATACAGGGTACGCAGCTCACTCGTCTGAGATGGAATTTTTCAAACACCAACCTCTTTATCCCTCCCTCCTCCCCCTCTCTCTCTCTCTCTCTCTATCTCTCCCTCTCTCTCTCTCTCTCTCTCTCTCGCTCTCTCTCTCTCTCTCACTTATACACACACACACATACACACACACACACACACACACACACATTCTCTTTCTGCCTTTTTTCCGTAAAACTGGCATTTTTTTCTTTAAAATCAGCACAGTTTTAGATCCCTTAGAAGGCAGGTTTCCGACACTGCCTATCAAGGCCAACCCTGGCTGAGAGGGATACAACATCCCCGCAAGAAGGCTGAGATACTCGATTGATACAACATCATAACAGAAAGACCCAGATACTCGATAAATATTTTCCCTCCTCGGGGATCGAACTCGTGTCTCCAGCCTGCGACATCAAAGCGTTTAACTGCTACGGGGTCTGTCTCAGAATAAAGTTTCCCTCCTCCATAAAATTAAAGGTACGCAACCAACAGCCACTAAATTTTGTGACGTCATTACATCATGTCTAAGAAATTTCAACGCCAAATTTCAAGTGCATTAGTTAACGGGTCATAGAGCTGTGACGTGTCAAGTGTGGTGTTCTTGTGCACTTTGACCAAGGCAAATTCTAGAAAAAATTCAACTCTTCTCGGCAAGTCAATCTGCAGTTGAAACCCAGGGAGATCTATACAACGTAATAAGGAATAATGCCCCATCAATTCGAACAGTAAGGAAATGGATCCGGGAGGTTGAAGATGGGAGGTTTTACATGAAAAATGAAGCACACACAGAAAACACGGGGAGAGAAAGGTGATGCATATTGTTTTTTTCGACATGAGTCGCATTATACTGAGCTGGCTAGTCACACCTGGTGTGAATGTCAATGGTGACTACTACAGGTTCGTCCTCAAAGACAAGCTGAGACCTGTGATCCGGTAAAAAGACCCGCTTTGCTTGAAGAAGGCGTCATCCTGCACCATGACAACGCGCCTGTTCACAAGCCCAGAATTGTGAACGAGCTTCTTGAGGGCTACTCGTGAGAATTATTGGAACACCTGCTCTATTCGCCCGATCTCGCCCCATGCAACTTCCATCTCTTCCACAAGGTGAAAGAAATGCTAAGAGATTTGAGGACGAGGACCAGATTCAAAAGGCTATGAGAAAAGCACTCGGGACCTTGGACAAACGATCCCTGACCACTGTCTTTGACCGCTGGGTACATCAAACGGAGAAATGTCTTGAACTTGAACTTGGTGGTTCCTACGTTGAATAGGTATTTGAATAAGCTTTCTGTTGATAGGTGATTTATAATTATATGTGAGGACAGCATGACAGGGAAACTTTATTCTGAGACAGACCTCGTGCACCACGGACGCCAGTATTTTTATCTCTGCACTTATTATTACTATTTGGTTTGTCATTTAGAGAGAGAGAAAGAGAGAGAGAGAGAGAGAGAGAGAGAGAGAGAGATAGAGAGAGAGAGGAAGAGAGAGAGAGAGAGAGAGAGAGAGAGAGAGAGAGAGAGAGAGAGAGAGAGAGAGAGAGAGTTTCAAACACTATGACAACTCTCCGAATCATTAAAGCTCGACAAATAGTCTTGCTCTGTCATCTTTGCTTGAAAAAGAAATATTTTTTGTACAAGTTTATCCAAGTGTCATACGCAATTGAAAAATCTCGAAGGCAAAGCACGGGAGGGGGAAAAGGAAGAAGAACGAGGTGATATCTCAAGGCAATAGCTTATTATAATTGAGCTAAGCCCGTTTGTGAGGTCAGAATACCTTTTTTACACAGGTGCCCATAAAATCAACAAAAATACGAATCAGTTTAAAATTGTCTCCATGGGTTACGTGGGCATACTTTCAAAGTTCGGAAACTACCTTTGGATTTTTCAGGTTTGATGGTTTTTTCCCTTTAAATCGAAGCTCTCATAATATGTTTTCACTCTGCCCTTTCGTATTTTACTGGAGACAACATCCGTTTCGGTTTGCGTTTCGTCGAGTGTGTGTCTGACAGTTGCTTCTATTATTTCCTGATTTAGAATCTCGATATCCAACCCTGGGTAATTTTGCAGTCATAAATTTGTGATTTTCTTAGGTTTTATTTTTCAATTTAAACGAATTTGACCATTAAAATCACGCAAATCAACCTAAATGTGATAAAATAGGGGGACCGTTTAACCCCTCATCGGAGACCTACATTCTAAAGGTTGTAAAGGCGAAAGCGCAGATAAAAAATACCACTGAAGAAAAAACCCCTTATATTCTCTTACCTTACTCGAGCTGCTCTTCTCAATTGTCCAAGAAAGAACCCTTGTTATCGGAAGCACTGAAACCACAATGCCTCCTCTTTTTTCTGCAGCGCCATAAACACTTATCCTCACGAAATGAGCACTGCGTATTACACTTCGGGCACACACCTCCTTCGGGAAAACACCATGCAGAACGTACAAAATCTCCGCTTTTCTGGTTGTCTTCGTAGAATCTTCTGATGACTGAGAAATAATTGAAGGGCGCACGACTGGCACGAATCCATGACATGACATAACCCAGCCCAGACAAGGAGCAGCGAGAATGACGGTTAGACATAGAGGATTTCAAATTTAGAGAGGGATTAGATCTAATGACGTAAGCAAAGCGCAGCAGAAACCGTGAAATGCGCATGCTCAACAATAAATATGCAAAAAGTTAGAAGTGTGCTCATTCTAAAAGGTTGGATGGCGCATGCGCATAATCTATGACATGTGACTCTCCGTGCAATCACATTGTTCTTTCCCGGTATATTAGCACGCAAAGCTCGTGAAGATATACAAATAATACAGGTATTAATATGAAACGGGACATTTGCGATGGCTTTGAGTATCACATTCGTTAATAACACACCCTAAAACCTACAAAAATCATTAACAAAGTAGTCAACATAAGTTCGGTCCAATTCTGCAATAATACCCAACTCTGTTGGAATTGTGCTTCGCAATGTCGATGGATACTTCAGGCCGATTATTTTGTAGATAAAATTGGTATAGTCGTGTCCCCAAAAGGTTGAGTTTTTAATTTAAACGCTTAAAATGTTTACTTCATTGTATTGACTTTATCAAAATTTGGGACGTATTCGGTGCGCAGTTCTTATTTTTTATTTTTTATTTATTTAAAAAAAAAATTTTTTTTTGAGAGCAAGACTTTAGATCTAGTAGATCTCTCTATATCCTAAATGTATTTAGAGCACAGAATTCAAAACTGATTTGGAAGTAGTTAGCAAGAACAGAAGTGCGGTTTGTGCTTTATCGTGTGTGTGCTCATCACTGCACAACAAACGCCGTTTTCCTCCTTTTTTGTTTGCGTCTATATCAGATTCCCCATGTAGTTCATTCTAATAGGGGGTGCCCACATATGCGATTCTGTCGGGTCGGGTCGGGTCGGGCCGATCGGGTCGGGTCGCTTTCTTGTGGTTCAGTGCACACTATATCCCGCCGCGATTGTACCCGAGGACCTGGAAGTTAAAGCAGAGAAACCTTTAACCTACATGCGACTACACAGAGGGCGTAAACCCGGCTACGATTGGCGGAACCCTTGACCCATGAATACATAAAATAGGCAAATAGGCCTACGATACCCTTGCACTTCTAGCACTCCCTATCTCTGTCTCTCTCTGTCTCTCTCTGTCTCTCTCTGTGTGTGTGTGTGTGTGTGTGTGTGTGTGTGTGTGTGTGTGTGTGTGTGTGTGTGTGTGTGTGCGCGCGTGAGTGCTTGCTTGCTTGCTTGCTTGCTTTAATGTCTCTCTCCTTTCTTATCTATTTCTCACTTCCCATATCAGAGACCTAGATCTAGATCTAGCAATGTATCTCTCTCCCTTCCTCCCTGTTACTCTCATCACCCTCTCTCTGTAGTGCTCCTCCTCCTCCTCCTTCTGATTCGTCTCCTTTTTCCTCTAGGCCTATAAGCGCTCCAAACCCGCCGTGAGAAGCGAGAAGACGGTCAAAGGCGTGAGACTGAAACCGGAAATTCTCAGAGTACCTACTTAATGTATTCATGGTTAAAAATGGACACGTGACTCAGCCATGTTGTGATTGGATGCAAACCACCCAATCGCACAGTTCGCAGGCCAGAAAACAAAAGCGTTTGTTTTTGTAGGTCACTGATGGTGTCGATCAGTTTGTGCCATGATGGTCGCTTTGCGCCCTCAATTTGGCTAACCCTGACTACCCGATGGGCCCGACCCGACCCGACCCGACCGGATCGCGTATGTGGGTACCCCTAGGCGATCATAAATCAGGCAGCGCAGCCCGAGAACTACACACCTTGCTTGTGGGCTGACACACCGGCCGCTCAGGCTTCGGCCCACAGCAAGCAGTGACCTTCGTAATGATAATAATGATTACAACGGCCACGGCTAGGCGGTCTCTTTCTCCCTTTCTCCCTCTCTCTCTCTCTCTCTCTCTCTCTCTCTCTCTCTCTCAATCTCTCCCTCCTCTCTCTCTCTCCCTCTCCCTCTCAATCTCTCCCCCCTCTCTCTCCCTCTCTCTCCCCCCTCTCTCTCTTTCTCTCTCTCTCTCTCTCTCTCTCTCTCTCTCTCTCTCTCTCTCACTCTCTCTCAATGGTTTAGCTTCCCTGTGTTTGTGTTCAAACTAACGGACATGTAAAAAATTATTCTAGACAGACAAAAGCGATGGAAAGACAGAAAGTTGACTTGAGTTGAGTTAGAGTTTTACGGAAATGGAGGGCACACACTGATATGTTTTGACACCTTTTCATAGGATAAAATGTTTGGTAAGCTAGCAGTCCATGCCCGACATTCTGTTTCATCCGAAGGAAATCCATACAAGGTCACTTTTTCTGCACCTTTCTGACTGTCATAGCCAGTTTTGCATCCACCAACTGAGCATTTTCTTCCCATTGTTGTTCTTATTCCTTCAGTTTATTTTGAAGGTGTCAGTCACAGTCCAACAGAGTCATAACCACACATGATGAAAGCAAGAAATAGGCCTAGAAGAGAAGCATGTAAGCACTGTGAAAGAACAGCAGATATTAATATACAAAGCAGGTCGGGAAAAACACAAATTGTCAAAGGAGCTCCCCCATAATTATGATCCGTATACTTTTCCCTACCTAACAAGGGTGGACCCCTAGACGCTCAGAGTCTAGATATATAGATTTATACCTACATGGTCCTTTTAGTCTACTGTTTGTGTTATAAACTAATCTAAAGCAGATCTAGGGATAGGATGGAGAGTTCGTTTTTAGTGGTTGTTTGCATAGAGAGGCTCTAAGTCAGTGAAGAGTGTGCGGATCAGGAGGGGGGCCTCCACTGTGTAGACATGTATTTTAGACAGATATGAATTAAACTTGCACGGTCAAAACTTCACTGTAGGTTTAATCTAAACACGTACACTGATGGAAGAGATATTTGATATTCACACAATCCAGATGATTTGAAAAAAAAAACTGCATTAGGCCTCAACTAAATGAACCCAGGCATTCACTGAGTACGATGGCGATGAAGAATCTGAAAATGAACAGTAGGCCTACAGTGCAGCCAAACAGCACTTCAAATTTGCGATCTCAAGACTGTTGGTCAATCTTAATTAATTAATTAATTAGTCACCACTTCTGTTCCTCAACACACACAATGATGTAGAAAATATTCACATAATCCAGATAACTTGAAAAGCAAACTGCATTAGGCAGAAATAATCCAGTGTCAAAGCATGAGAAAACAACAATTCAAACTGACCGTCGCACCCTGCGTAGGCTTATCACTACTAATGATCTACAAGGTTGTGGGCTTACTACACGGGTGTGTCAGCCCACAAGGAATCTAGGTCAGTAGCGCGCAGGTGGCCTGATTATATGACCGTCTAGGGGTACCCCCTATAAAACTTGGATTTGAGGAGAAATTTCATACTCACTCCTTATTTTGTTCAATTTTTATCCCAGCTGGAGATAAAATTCGGAGGTGCCACCTTTTACGTACACTTATAACATAATCAGAGCGTGAACCCAAATTCTTACTTTATTTTAGTTTACATTTTTACCCTCTGTTGCCATTAAGCGTCAAGGGAAGATGTAGTTTTCTATGGTAGGCCAGCTCTGCAGCTCTTCAGCTCTTTCAATTGGCATATTACAATTTCTCAGGGTTTCCTTGGCTCTCTCATCAATCCATCTTTTCCGTGGTCTACATCTTCCTTTTATAACCTGAGTCCTTGGCGTTATAGACTTTCGAGGCTGGGTGGTTAGGTGATATTCGTAACCGGTGGCCAAAGTATTGTATTTTCTGTTTGTCTATGAAATGCAGGCAGAACTCACAGCTAATGGCAGCTCTTATTTCTTCTTTTCTCTGCCTGTCAAATCTTGTGATGTTAAAGGTTTTGCGGAGATACATCATCTCGCTTGCAGTGATTTTGTTTTCATGGGTTTTACTTAATGTCCAGGTCTGGCACTGGTAGCATAACGTTGATATAAACATTGAAGTGATAAGCTGTCTCCAAATCTTACTATACTACTTCTTTATTATTCTCTACCCATGCCACTACATACGCTTTGAAAAGAGGGGATGGTGCTGGCAGAATTTACTTTTTGTAAGCAGTCTCTATAGCACACCGGCGGTCCACAATGTATCGGGGAATGAAATTACAATGTATGTGTCACTGACAAAAAAATTACCAAGTCAGATCTTTAGAGAAGAACGGTCATAAATAGAATGTATATTCTGCACGGATACACGGGCTTAAGTTATCATAAAACTTAATCAAACAGCTTTCAGTCTGCCAGTCAGTCAAATAATCCTGGATCTAAGAACGCACAATAGGAATAGCAACACAACACTAACAACAAAAAGTAAATAAAATTTAAGGAAATTAAAATTTCTAACCAAATCTTCCTGTCACCTTTGGTAGACGTTCATTTAGCTCCTATCTATCTCGCTTTTAGTCTTAAAAAAGGGGGGCGGGGAGGTTGAAAAATGTAAAACTTCGAAGAAATGGAACAGAATTTTCAAGTCTGCAAAAAGGTAAACATGAAAGCACATAGAAAGGAAAAGATCAACACCCAGAAAAAACATTTTCAACGAGAGCCATCTTTCATTTCACAGGGTGTGTTGGACGATGACGTCTTTAGGCTCATCCGAGCCGGGGCTCTGAGCGTTGCCCCAGGTGTATCCGTGTCCCAAGCCCTCCTGTGTGAAATCGTCCTGACCTTCATGCTCATCTTTGGGGCTCTTGTCGCTCTCGTGCCAGAGGAAGGGAAATGTTGCCCACTCGTAGGCCCCATCTGCGTTGGTACTACTGTTGGCGTTGCTATACTTTCAGCGTAAGTAAGCTTGTTATTTTCTTCTGTCTAGCCTCTTCTACTATTGCTGTCATGTTGTTATGTAAAGGATGATTTTTTTGTTTTGTAAATATTTCGTCCATACTGAAGTTTTGAGTTTTAAATTTGAACACAATATTTGGAAGTCAAAAGGAAATTGTCTGAGAATCATATTAGATAATGCCACAGAATGGTTTTGCTCTTTTTCGTGCATTAAAAACAGCCCAACCCATTTTCATCTTTATCCTTATTTTTAAAGCATGATGCACCAGTTTGCATCAGCCTACAATTAAAAGTTACATAGATCGTGTCATATTGCAAGCTGCTGCAGTCTAGCAAACCAATAGAAGTTTACAGATATTTCTTCCCCAAATTTTCTTAGCCAACTGAAACATGGTTAAGTTTAATAAAGAGCAGAGAGCTTTTTTGTATTGAACATTACCTCTCTGCCAACGTACCATCCCTGACATGTTGTTAGTTCCGCGAACGGTACGGAAAAATTGTTAAAGTGCCCTAAAGACCTTCTTTAGTGTCTTGGGTAGATAAATTCTATCAGTTTAGATATATAGATCAGAACTCCAAAATGTTTTTAACAAAACAACCACTTCAACCTGAACACGCACCATTTGCAGCCCTTTAATTAAACGCCCTAATGATTCAGATTTCAGTAATCGAGTCCCATGAGACGTCTGTCTGCAGACGATGTCTGCAGCTAGGACTTTCCTACACCACAACGGTCTGCATTCTCAAGACAGATCTAAACCTACGACTGTACCTTTTTCATGTTCGCTAGGTGAAGATAACATGAACCAGAGCATGGTAATGTGTTTATGATTCCTCAGTCGTCTTGAAAAGCGTGAACATTTCCTCGATGACATCTGGTTCAGTACCAAGTATATTTTCGCCTTTCAGGATAAATATCCTATCTGCAAAAATGCTGTCTACAAGGCAGCCCACCCCCTGTTGTCTCTAGAAGCTGCTCCACTGAAAATACTCATAATTTAGCGGGTCCTTATGTTTGGCAGCCATTGAACCTTTCAAACGAAACGTTAAAAATATGTCGAGTCCTATGGAGCGCATGTAGAACATTGCTTTTAGGAATCTCAGAATAAAGTCGTAGGATTTTTAACTCTGTTTAAATTTTTTTTTTACATGGATGGAAAATTAAATGTCAAAATGAAAATAGAGAAGAAAAAAAAAGCCAATCATTTCAAGACTTTCTTTACAAGATTTTTTAGAAAGTGATACCCTTTGCGTTCATGGCTACTTTTTCTTTAATTAAGCCATTTAGTTTTTAAAATAAGTTGCTTCTTTCCGAATTTTATGTCAATGGATTTTTATATCTAATCCAAATCACAACATTCTAGAACAATTTTTGTGGTAAATGTACAGAAAAAGAGTTGAAAAGTTTGCTTGTTTTTTGGTGGGGAATCATGCTGTACGTGTGTGTTAGTGAGCGTCTATCTATCTATCTATCTATCTATCTATCTATCTATCGATCGATCGATCGATCGATCTATGTAGATCTCTATCCAGATCACGATGTTGATCTAGAAACGCATGTAAGGATAAAGATAAAGATAGTTATGACAATTATAACATTAACAACAACAACAATTTCAAGAACAATAATTACATTAATCATCATCAACATCATCACTATCATCATCATCATAAGATGATAATAATGATAGTAGTAGTAGTAGTAGTAGCAGCAGCAGTAGTAGTAGTAGTAGTAGTAGTAGTAGTAGTAGTAGTAGTAGTAGTAGTAG